ATATATATATCATAGATAATATCATCTATCACGTCTTACAAATGTAAAATACACCATGAGGATGAGGGCAAGTTAACCTGATAGTCTTAGAGGGATTTAATGGACAGATTATTTCCCTAAGATTTATTTTTAGGGAATGAAAAAAATAGAAGTGTTTGTAATATACCTAGAAATACAGGCTCCATTGTAAAATTCAGCTACAATTTATAATCCTCCCTCCTACCATTAAAAATGAACAGACATATGACAAACAAAAATGCCACCCAAGGTCTCATGTTATCTATAGGACCAAATCCAGTAATCCAGTAGAGTTTTACTGGAGTTTTCCCTTTTAAGTGGAATCAGGAACCACCTAATTGTACCTTAATCTTGCATGTCACTTATTTCAGATACTGGAATTCCAGATATTGAAATAAAAAACAATGGGACGCCTCATGATAGTGCTGCCATGCAAGGTACAGTCAATTGCTAATTTCTTTCTATAACTGCTTAATATGTGACCCCTGGGGCTGAGGGGGGATGAGCTCCTGTGATGATATTCTTTATCTACACAAAATAAATAAGTTTTAACACTTCTTACTTTATGACAATGGAAGCAATTTGCAGTTTTTTGAGAAACAATATTTAATATGGCTTTGAAACACCAATGACCATGGTTACATAGGGACTAATAATTTTATATATACAATGTGAGCAAATACGTTTAGCTGTAAAAAGAATACACATTTGTATGTCAGGCATATTCTAAAAATGCATAAATGTGAATGTAATGTACCTTTTAAAAGTGTACAATACCATAAGTTATTTTTGTAATTTCACCACTTTACTGTTTGTAAAAGCCACAGGTACAATCATTGTAACTATAAAAATTTTAAAGGTTTTCCAGACAACGTTTTTTTTTCATCCTTTAAATTTTGATATTAAACTTAGCGGCCACTTAAGTACGAAAAACAGAACATGACTTATAATTAGTGATTTACATGTTGTCACAAATGCTTACATCTTCAAAAATACTTGACAATATTTAGTAGTAAGAAAACAGATGAAACCAATCAATATAGAGTCTCACTGGAGTACAAAAGCACATAAAAATATGAGTTAAATGTGACCACTGAAAATTTCCCAGTGTGATTCCAATGCACTTCTAGTCTTTTGCATGCAGATTACATTTATTTTCACATTTATTGTGATAAAATGCTTCACTCTAATAAAAAAGAACATTTCCATGAGAAAACAGTTTCCTAACTTTGAAAAATGAAGACAACTATGTATATGTTGCTTGCTGGAATTAATCAGTGCTTTTCCACTGTGTGATGAGTGGATCTACATAAAGGCAACAGAACTGGATGTGACCAAAATATCCATTTGGGTTCATCTGAGGGTCACCATTTTATGTGGTAGCTTCATAAATTGTTTTACGTGTAATTTTACAAGTCATCCTTATAAAACCATAAACGTTAGTGCTCATGGATGCTCTAGTGATGCCTGATTCTGCTGCAGCTGGGTAGACCTAACTAATGCACTAACGATGTTAGGTGTAAAAACATGCATGCTTACCTCATTCAATGAAGCTTTTGCTGTTTCTTATCCCTTTTTTCTTGCCTGCTTTAGTCCCTCCGCTTAAAGGCTGTGTCTATATGAGCAAAACCAACTTGAATGGGATTCAATGTTTGTCCAACCCATTCATCGCAGAAAATTCATTAAGAAGTGTTCCACTAGTTGTAGGCCTGGTATTTGAGGTTGCCATCATATACCAGCACCATGGTGGAGATGAATAGCCTAAAGTGTTTGATCCCTTCTGAATCAGTGACACGCAAATATAGACATAGTCTTTAAGGAACATTGAACTTGATTGTGCCCTGCTTTGAGTGGGTTTAAGGTCAGCTTTGAAACTGGAGAGGATAATCTGAATACACCACTAGTGAGTTTTATCTTTATTATCCTTTAACCCTGTACCTCCAATTTATTACTGATTGTTTAATTTATATGATATCTTTAGTTCATAGTAATAACATTTTTCTTAACTCTGAGAGAAACACAAGCTTTTGAATTGTCCTAAAGTTATTTCATTTCCATATAACAAATAGTGATATTGTATTTGTGGGCAGTCAATTAGGTGATATTAGCAAAAGGTAGGTCCACTCTTCGTTTCCAAATATTTTATGAAGTCTACCAAGAATGGCTTTTGCATATTATACTTAGGGAAAGACACATTTAATACTTGATTTCACTGTGCATACTTTTAAAAAGTTTTACAAGTTTTTAATTGCTAAATATGAGAGAAATAGAGAAATCTTAAAAGGACTGAGATGGAATTTATTTTAAAGCAATGAAATTGATTTGTATTTTTTTCCAAATTAAAAATTACATTGTCTAGTATTTGTGTTTAATATTGTCTATATATGGTAAAATATGGTAGGTTAATAATTCTTCATTGGATGTCTGTCTTTTACGTTACATTAAATAAGTTTCCATGTAAATGTGATAAACATGGAAAAAATGTACATTATCCCCTCTCTTAGCACATTTAAGCACTGTAAATGATAAATCCCCTATCATCACCTTATGAAAAACTAGAGTTAATGCCTTGTGTTAATAGGACAGTAGAATCACAATTTGATTAAAAAAATTTTTTAGCAAAAATGTTTTATTCTTTTAGCCAGGAAAATAGGTGCCTAAAATATCCTCAGAACTAATCTTGAATAGAGTTTACCAAATCAATCAGGTCAAATAATCACCTAATAATCCCAATGATTTTGCCTATTATTTGTAAAATAATAAAAGGTAATAAAAACATTACTTTTGAATGTATCTAAGAATCTCAGAAAATGTGTAATGCTTGGAAAACATGAAATATAATCTTGGCCATTAATTTTCAATTCTTCCTAACAATTTTGGTTTTGTTTATTATAGCTCTTTTTTTTTGCGACTTATTTTGATATTGTTTTAATCTTTTCCATCTCCCTTGAAACCTATTTTTCAACTTGAAAGATCATTTCCTATCATTGTTTGTGAGGGTCAGTTCATACATGACAATACAATGCCATTTCCAAAATTCATCTCCATCCCAGGAAACAAATTCCAGCATCAGTAAGTGCTTTCTCTTTCTATTGTCAATAGCACTGTTAGATAGAAGTCTATCATTCACCTACTACTCTCACTTTGAAATTTAATTAATTTTACACTATGACATCTCCTTAAGAATTTAAAAAGCACTTAAAAATGTTACATGGCCACCCCTGGAAGCAAAAAAGTCGTATCTAGTTTTATGGTAACTTCCACATGGGATTTAGTGCAGACAAACTGCACATGTACCAGAAATCTTATAAGATTATATATGTACACTATATATATTGTATATATATAATGCATTACATATAATATATATGATGCCATTATATATAATTGATTACTTATAATACATATAATGCATTATATGTAATGCATTATGTATATATAATGCACCTCTTCAGCTTAGTTATTTCATGTCTTTTATGCTTTGAGTATTGTTTGACAGAGAAGATAATATGCATAGACCAAGTTACCATAAAAAGATATCTATATCTTTTGTATTTTTGGAGTCTACCATAGCAACTCCTACAGAATGTTTTCTAGTGATCACACATGTATACATACTACTCCAATGGTTATGTCCATTATCTCTAGGGATGAAGGATTTGGTGAAGCATTTGTGCTAATGTCACTGCACCCAGATTCCTATAACTCAGTTGAGGGCCTGCAAGATAGTACATCAACCATCTTATCAACCAATCCCTGTTTCACATAACATAAACATACCCGGTGTCATTAAGTGCACCTTCAGATCAATGATTTTTTGCAAAGGACATTCAAGTGCCATTTGCGTAGTGCATTTTTGCTGATAAACCCAAATTAAATTAGCACAACTACAAGTGTGCTGATAAAAACCAAAACTGAACAGCAGTACCATTAGCTAACAAAGTAATATTTCTTTTTACTGCGTTCTGCCATTTAGTTATTATCCTATTGGAAATCTAATTATAATCCTTTTACTCCCTAGTCAAACTTCACAGTTTTTGCAAGCTTAGCACTGACAAGTGATTTCATTACATTTGATTGCCTGCGCCCAGATTGACTTAACTTCACTTGGAGACCTAAAAACCCTCTCAGTTTCTCAGATTCCCTGTTTGCACATTACTGCAACAGCTCCTTTAATTAATTAGCATGAACAGCAGTAACATGAACTGCTGAACAGAAAATAACATCATTTTATGATCTCAGGGAGACTTCCCTTTTGCATGTTTATACCTTAGTTAACTTTTGCATTACTATATTTCATTGTTAGTGGCTGGTGAACAGTTGACATGCATGTTTCCTAAATTTTAAAAAATTGAAGCTAACATCTTAATAATAATAGGTCAAAAATAAAACAATATGAAGCTCCTACATTTTAGAAAATAGAAAACTGCCATCAAGAACTGACTTTATAGTAATAAAATAAAATAATAAAGTTCAGGGGAGATAACATCATAAAGTACAAGGGCACCGTGACATACTGCCCCTGTATCTGCCACTGAATTTGCTTGAGGAAAAAAAATAAACCACAAAATGAGGAACTGTATTTTGCCCATGGAATGTGAATCTCTGTGAATAATTTTTACATTTTCTTTTATGTCTACATGTTTGACAAAGACAAAAGATGATTTAGCACTGGAATATATTGTTCTCATATTTTTTCCATAAATGTAGTGGCATCCTAAATAATTTTTTTATTCCTTTTGCTACTGACACACTAGAAGTAGATATTAAGTCAAATCAACATGTGAAAGGAAACCAAAATTGGATGTAAAAGTAAACCTAGTAAACCTTTTTTTTTTTTTCTGAAAGATTTTTTGCTCAGAAAAAAAAAAGATCTTATTAAGAGCACAGACTGACCATTCAAAGATTTAAAAGTCATGATCTCATTTATGCAGTACCTATTGAAGGTGCCACTGAAGAATTAAAAGCAAAAAGTGTCACTTGATTGCAAAAGCAGCAAATATAGTTTTAACACTTACTATATTAAAAATTACAGTTTAGGGAATAATTTCATATCCATACCTTATGGCCTAGAATATTTTATATATATATATATATATATATAAAATATGAATATATATATAATATGATATATGTATAATTATGTTATATATATTATATTATATATATTATTATATTATATATTATATATAATTATATTATATATATCATATGATATGATATGGTATATATAATATGAAATATATATGAATATGTCTATTTTATCAGTTCTCTCAAAATCAAGTTGAACAGTGTCTATCCTTCCTTGACCCCATAGAACTCCTTATTGTTTTCTCTTTGCTACGTTCTTGTTAACCTAAGACAACATTCCTCCAAAGAACTTATGATGCCATGCCAATATTTCCTAAAAGCAACTACCCTTGGGATAAGATTATCA